GTTTTGAAACGTGATAGCACAGCTAGCAATCTGATACACTGTTTATTGACAGAAAAGTACAGTATATTATGCATTTCAGTGAATATACAGTAAATATACATGGATTATTACAGTGCTGTGTGGATGAACTGATATGTGTTTGTTTGACGCTCTGAATGTTAGAACTAGCTGCCGGATAGCAAATTTTCTCTGGACCAGGGATGATGCAATGTTGTTGTCATGGAGAGATGCTCTGGATACAGGAGTGAGCTGATGAGGTGAGAGATGCTGTGAATCAGTATCCCAATACAGAATGCATATAAATGGAATGATATAAAGCTGGAGGATATGTATTCTATTTTAGATTGTGATAGACCAGATATATTTTATAATGTAGACAGTCTTGTGCATCCTGAAATAATTAAACATTGTAGAATACACAATATGTGGAATTTGGTCCAATTCGCTTGTGCCATTTTGTATATTACTACTTAGAAAAACATAAAAATGAAACATAATTCAATTAATAATCAATTAAAGTGCTTATGGCACAGAGTACAATAGGATTGTGGGGTTAATGTGTTTTATAAAGCCTGTTTTTGCAAAGGAAACTCACAATGACACATTTAGATGCAGAAATAGACAATTTGACTCGCTTCACATATAATGTAGTAACTCCTGTTTAGAAGCTGTTATTTGAAAGATTCTTTTTTCTGGTACTTTTTGGCATGTAGTGGCATCAAACAAAGTAAATTGCAGAGAGCTGGGCCTAATAGAACCTGAATTACAGAATTTCAAAAAAATAATTTTTTTAAAACTCCAAAAGCGCCTATGGTTTTTTTTGTGTTTATTGTAATATTTGAAAAATATATAATGTTATTTATAAAGAATTACACTCATATTTTGTAGTTCAAAGGGTTTTCTTTACAATGAAACCATTTGTTTTCATTTCCTCCATTGTATGTGTGTAGGGTAAACATTTGAATTTGAGAATGTCAAATTTAGGCGAAAATACCAAAAACGCCCCAGAGAATAAGTGGTTAACTCGCTAACTTACTTTACAAAGAAAATCCTGGGAAAATATACCCACTTAAACCGACATTAAACAGAGCAATGTCGGACATGTTATATTATTATATGACTAAAAACGAAATAAACAACTGAATGTCATACATGCATGTCATCAAATAATCACATACTCTGATTCTTTTCCTTAACAGTATATCCCAGAGTTGATTAATATCATAGATTATCACAATTTGTCTCCGTTTGCATGAACCAACGCACATCAAACAACATGTGACGCAGTTGATTTTAACAACTCATTTGATATAACTCCGATTGGTTTTTCCTTTATGCGACAAAATATCCTTTATCTCTTCTTTACACCATGCATATTTCAATATTTTCTCATCATCGGTTAGTTATCAATCATATTTTTTACCATAAACCATTAATTTGAACACATATGACTGATTACAGAGAAATGGCGGAGGAACAAAACACTCACCGGAGTTCCTCGAAATAAAAGTACAAAAAGATATTTCTTCCCCCGGATTCCACTGGAAAAGAACTTAAAACTATTTCCTCACACTCTATTATTCTCTTTTTATATATATAGATATATATTTGCACTCTGAATCAACAGTCGTCTAACTCCGCTCTCACTCTCATCCGTAAAACGGCTCCTTTCTCAATTATATCGCTCATCACGGAGAAACGCCCTCTAGTGGAGAACATCAGTCACTATATATTTTTTTCAAATTAAAAGTCCTATTAACCACCCTAATTTCAAGGGGGTTACACAAACATATCTATTTTGCTGTCAGGAGTGGGCGAGGCTGACGCGAGTGAGAGCGCTGCTGCACGCATGCACGCTAAACAGACGGAGCGCAATCGAATAGGAGTGCAATAATTCATAGTCATTTTCTTTAGTATTTATTTTCATTTTTAATTCAGTGATTGTAACTTTTAATTTAGTTATTTTAATGCTTTAAAGAGCAATATTAGATTGTATTGTTCTAATGTTCTGCAAACTATAAAAGGTACAGCTTTAATAAAACAAGAGAGAAAGGCTGCATGGCTAGAAACTGTAATATGTGAGACAGTGGTAATATCATTATCATATTGCATCGAATCGCATTGTGTGGAACTGAATCGAATTGAAATCGGATCGCATTGCATCGTAATAGGGGTGAATCGTATCGCATCGCATCGGTAGCTGCTTCATATGTATCTTTAATATATCGTATCGTTGGCTATGCATCGAGATGCGTATCGTATCAGCCTCAGTCATGGAGATGCACATCCCTACATTTTATAAATTAAAATTCTGTCCATTTTCTGCCAAATGACTTCCATATCAACGTTTGGGCTTTGCATGACCATGTGTGTTTATTTGTGAACAAAAGCCTAAAATAAATCTATTCATCATGTAAAGTGACTCTTCAGAAGAGCGTGTCTTCTGGTTGATTCATAAGGATTTCTTTTACAATGTCTTTATGAACTTTTGGAGCATCTTGTCACAGTTTGGTGTTTACGTAGAAATATCTGTGCATTTATTTGCGTTTTAAAGATGAACAAAGGTCGGATGCGTTTGAACTGACATGAGGGTGAGCAAATGACAGAATTTTCCTTTTTGGCTGAACTATCCCTTTAACATTTGTAGCCTAGAGGTTTCTTTCTCTAATGAGACTGCCATAAATCAGGTTTGAGGCAACTGATGGCTGTGATTAAAGATAACTTGTAGCTAACATATCTGTGAGCTTATCTTGAATTTAGCATTAATTATATTTGGAAAGCCAGGCAATGCGTCTGTTTTGCACTGCAGATAGTGTGGAGAGTGCAAATTAGGCAAGAAAGGACTCTGAAATTTAAGGTGCACATGGACTGTGACTCACCAGTTGGTTTGTCCTTTGCAAATGAACAAAGGTCGGATGCGTTTGAACTGACATGAGGGTGAGCAAATGACAGAATTTTCCTTTTTGGCTGAACTATCCCTTTAACATTTGTAGCCTAGAGGTTTCTTTCTCTAATGAGACTGCCATAAATCAGGTTTGAGGCAACTGATGGCTGTGATTAAAGATAACTTGTAGCTAACATATCTGTGAGCTTATCTTGAATTTAGCATTAATTATATTTGGAAAGCCAGGCAATGCGTCTGTTTTGCACTGCAGATAGTGTGGAGAGTGCAAATTAGGCAAGAAAGGACTCTGAAATTTAAGGTGCACATGGACTGTGACTCACCAGTTGGTTTGTCCTGCTCAGTTTCCAAAAAGTCAAACCATCAGTTTCAAAGTGCATGGTATTTCATTTTCAATACCAATTTCAAAGGTCCCAGTCCCATACAAATATCTAGATCAGAGGTCTCCTGGAGAGCTATACTACTACGTCATTATCAAGTAACCCTGAAGACCCTGGTCGCTGCTCCTAGACCCCTGCTCTAGATTGTGTTACATCTGTTACAACGTCAAATCAATGAAAATTCTGAAAGGCATTTGTAAACACTCCAAAACAGAAGGATGACAAACTAATTTTAGAAAGCAGCGTTAGCAGGAAAAGCCAGTGTTATTTTAATATGGAGATGACTGTTGTTTTTTGTTTTTTGCTGTTGTTTGTTTATTTTTTTTAATATTGAAGATTTTAAAGGGGTCCTATTATGCTGTTTTACAAAGTCTTGATTTTGTTTTGGGGGTGTACTAGAACAGGCTCTCATACTAGGTTGTTCGAAAAACACATTCTTTTTCACATATTTTACATTATTACACCTCTCTCCCCAGTCTGGCATGAACGGCTCGAATAGTTCCTGTATCAAATGAAAGCCCGCCTTCTGAAATACGAAATGTGCTGTGATTGGTTAGCAAGGCCAGTGTGTGTTGTGATTGACCAAATACACAAAATAATGTTCTTTTTAGCAGCATCATATGACCCCTTTAAACCCGGATGATTGTAACCACTCTTAAGTTCGTCTGCTTTGGGAAAGCTAGCGTGTCTCCGACATAGTGATAACACTCGTTGCCTTCTTTAGTGCAGCTCAACCAGGTCTCGTCCCATTCGTCGATATTTGTGATATCACAAATCCTGGAAAATATGCGTTGTAGTCCAAACGAGTCGTTCGTTGTAGTTTTTGAAAAGTGATTTCTGTTAAATAAAATATCTCCTTTTGAATTGGACTTTAAGCTTTGTAACTTTGCACATCTTTTTTATGCTCAAACAGCAACATTACAGACTAACTAAAGTTGAAAAAGTGAAAAAGCATAATAGGACCACTTTAATTTGATTTGCTTTCATTTTTTTGTATTTTTTCTTCTCCTTTTAATTACAGTTAACTTTTGGTGTTTTTTTTACTTATTTGAATACTTTTCGTTTTAAATATTTTAGTACATAAAGTTAAACTAAGTGAAAATAAGAAATGCTGTGGGAACTAGAGAAAACAAAATAAGTGAGAGTACTTGAGTTTAGTTCAGAAGTAAAACAAAAATACTCATTTTCTTTTTCGCAGCCTCCTTCTGACCTTTAGATTTAAACAAGCCCATTTTTTTTAACTGCTGCATGGAAATGTATGCAAAATCACAGCTGTGTGCTGACAGAAAACAGTGAAATGCACTGAAATGTGTCCGTTTTTCTGGTGTTCAGCAATAATAACACCTCACAATGCCGACATGTAAACATGGACGGTCAGGTTTTAATAAATACTCTTTTTGGACTGGGTCAGGAAATTTGAATTCCGAGTATGTTCTCACAGTTGATCACCTTTCTCAGTACATTAAAATGTATCAAATTTGATTCCTACTGATATGACCTCTTCAAATAAACACATATCTTCTTTATGACGAGCCCACCTCATAGAACATGTAGAGAGACAGAAGCGTCAGGCCGAGGTTATACGGCACTAGCAGTGCTCTGCAGGAGTACGGCTGTCTATTCTTCATGTATTTTGGTCCCATCCACACAATCAGTAGGTACATGACAGTGAAGGCGAAAGTGGGGATGTAGTTGTCCAGTAGAAGCCATCCTCTAACCCGAGGATCTGCAATCGATAGAGCACAACCATCCTCATGCATACGCTATTGCTAAAGGACGTTCAATAAATAGTCACAGTTGTTCCTCGGCATTAAAAATGGTTTTAAATGTGCCTCATTCCAATCAGAAATTTAAGTTAGAATTTTTATAATGCTGATTTTTTCTATAATACTGCTTTGCCTACTCACAGCGCAGGCTGAAATTGCAATTTCTTCCAATCTGATTAGAAACTTTATTAATATTATTTTTAAATGAGCCTGGAAACCATGTTTCCAAGATACTGGGTTGATACAATGAGCACTTTAAGGATCAAATAATCATTGGATGTGTCAAAGTTTGCCAGACAGATTAAAATCATCAGCATGCAGTAATAATACTGCCTTACTATGGAAATAAAGGGAGAATATGTTCCATTCGCTAAATCTGCAAAGTTTGTTCAAAAGTTTGCCATATAGGAACACAACACAGAGAAAAGTTTAGCTAAGGCTGCAGTAAAGACAATTAAAGACTTGTAAAAAAGAAAAAGAAAAAGAAAAAGTATTGTTCTTACCCCTGGGTCCCATCCAAGAGTCAATATAAGTGTTAACTCGGTGATTCAAGGCCTCCATCTCCAACCTTCGAGAGAATCATATGAAGATTACTTCAGCTGTTTACACAAGAGTAAATATACATTCAGCCAGTCTGTGAAAGTCCTAGAACATAATAAAACTGTTTAAAAAGGACAATAGAAGTTAAATCCTTGTTGGAACACATTGATTACAGCAATAAAAATGGCTGCCTACAGCAAGGACTACCATCCATCATGTTAAAGGGGTCATATGATGCGATTTCATTTTTTCCTTTCTCTTTTAAACCGCATAAACACATTTCATTACACCAAATACACAAAATAATGTTCTTTTTAGCAGCATCATATGACCCCTTTAAGTTCTCTTGATTGCCTGTTTGTAGCTCAGTAAAGGTCAAGACACAGTGTTTATAATCCAGAAAACCCCCTTTGTTTTGCTATCAGGACTAAAGAACGTTAGAGAACATTAGATTATCATGAGACTATATTGTTTCTCCGCACACTCAAGCACACTTACAAAAATGTATATTTATTTTATACACACATATTATATATTTAAAAAAAAACTATATTTAGTGGAAAGAGGAGATTATGTGGGAAAGAGGAGATATACTTCATTGTCAATAATAATAATAGCCTAGTATCCAATAATTAGGCTTCATTTTCTTTACTTTGTTTTTGGGGTGAAATGTGACATGCTCTTGACAGGTTTTCATCTAAATGTCATACATTACATATGCAGTATGAAAATTGTAGGCTACATCTCATGACAACCAATATGGCAAACTAAAATGTATTCATTATGAGCTGAAATGTGCATGATTATGATTGGAGATGTAATGATACAAATTTTAAAAAAGCTGACAGAAGTCTAAATGCATAACAGTAAGTAATAAAACCTTGATTAAATACAACGACTGCTGAATATAATATAAAATGAAGATTATTTTCATTATACTGCTGTAACTGATTTGCATGTCAACTAGCGTTACTCGATAGGATCGCGTTGCCTTTAAACAACAGATGAAAAACTGCAACAACACATTTCAAGACGATTAGGACACGTTTTGCTAAGACTTCTTCCTCAGAACAAATAAAGAACGGCTTCGCGTGACATAATCATAAACCTAACGCTTAATCTCTCATAAAGTCATATGATGCTAGACACGCCGCATTCGAGAGGTCACAGACAGCGCACTTTCCGATGACATTTTGGGGTGTTTAAATCTCTTTAGGGAGAAAGACTATCCAAAAAAAAAGCATCTCTTACCTTTAGTCTTCAGACAGATGTTTTCTTCCGTGCTCAGTCCTGTGCGGATGGAGTCGTCAGCGTGAAAGAGTGGGAAAAGCTCGTGAACTAATGAGCGTCATGTGTGTCTGTAGTCCACTTTAAACTGATGCGTAACGGGTCGTGTTCGAATAACGTTAACTCTCTTTATACTGCCGCTCGCTCTAGGGCAAAGTCTGCGAGGCGAGCACACTGCACTTTTACTGCCACGCAGATGTAAAAATCCAGATAACTGACGTTCCATTCCGAGAACAAATGTATGCATTTGGAACGTTTATAACGCTTTAAAACACCAGAGCCGTGGATAGAGGTGTGGTTTTAAAGCGGTGATTTATTCGAATTTTGAGATGTCGTCATGACAATGCTTCAAATGGATTTAGAACGTCAACGTATGTTTGACTTCCATTATGACGTTATAAGAGAATAGCGCGCGTTCTGGCATTCCGTTTTAAGCTTTAACAAGGCGTGAACTGTTTCGCGAACTAAAGTCACACCATTCATCTGAAGTTAGAACAGACCAATCACAGCGCTGCTCTGATGTGGAACCAGACCGGTCCAATCACAGGCCAAGCGCGCATCCAGGGGCCCATGGTGAAGGGGACCATCGCAGGAAAAGTGTCACCAAACGTGCTCATGTAACATTTTCTTTGTGGAAAGCAGTGGTTAATAGTTAATCTTTTTATATAGATATTGTAGTTTTTAAGTTTCTAGTTGTTGTAAATTGCATGGCATTTTGTAACTTAGCTACACGCTAAAGAGAAGCTTATTAAATGATTTCAGTAAGCATAAAAAAGTCATAAAGCGGAAAAAAACAAAACTGATCTCTGGTCGATCTGGTCATAGTTCAGTGTGCTGATTCTTTATGATGCAGCGTGATACAAAGTCCCATTATTTTGCGTCATGTGCCAACCACTGCACACCTTAGAATCGCATTTGCTAGTTTTATCCATTATTACAAACAATCTACACACTTGACACTCGCTGGCATTAGATGAGGACGACTGGGAACATTATTAAGAGCCCTAACCGTATAGCCTTCGTTTTCAGCCCTTCCATAAAACTTTTGTTCCGGGCCCTGTAAATTTCAGCGACGGCCTTGTGTTTGAGAATGCAAAGCGGTAAATTATTTACACCAATAAATGTGTTTGATACACTGTTTAATCTTTCATTGAAGAACAACCTGAATTAGTTGAACTGCAAAATGGGCATGTGCTTATGTAACAGCTTTCATTGCCTGCTCACTGCCTGATGCTGATTAAATGAATTGAATTTAAAAGTACAAACATTCCACACAAACAGCATTTAAAGGATTGTTTCCACAAGGCTGCAATGAACGCTAAAGAACTTACATTGGTCTGTAAAAGGCATTGTTTGCCAACTCAATAAGCTGAATATGTACAGGAATCACTTTATTTGAAGCCATATACAGATGTTAAAGCTAACAGACTATAGCTTAATCTAATTTATCTTTCCATTATTTTAATAAAAAAAGACCATCTGCACCCTCTAGTGGTGGAGCAGCTACACAAAGCTTAACAAAACAACTAAGAAACCTCAGATGGTATAAATTTAGCTGTCCCTCAAACACTAAAATTATATGAAATATAATTTGTTAGTGAAAAACACAACTCACTGCACACCACTACGGTCTTCAACATTTTTTCAACCCCTAATCTACACACTTGACACTCGCTGGCATTAGATGAGGACGACTGGGAACATTATTAAGAGCCCTAACCGTATAGCCTTCGTTTTCAGCCCTTCCATAAAACTTTTGTTCCGGGCCCTGTAAATTTCAGCGACGGCCTTGTGTTTGAGAATGCAAAGCGGTAAATTATTTACACCAATAAATGTGTTTGATACACTGTTTAATCTTTCATTGAAGAACAACCTGAATTAGTTGAACTGCAAAATGGGCATGTGCTTATGTAACAGCTTTCATTGCCTGCTCACTGCCTGATGCTGATTAAATGAATTGAATTTAAAAGTACAAACATTCCACACAAACAGCATTTAAAGGATTGTTTCCACAAGGCTGCAATGAACGCTAAAGAACTTACATTGGTCTGTAAAAGGCATTGTTCGCCAACTCAATAAGCTGAATATGTACAGGAATCACTTTATTTGAAGCCATATACAGATGTTAAAGCTAACAGACTATAGCTTAATCTAATTTATCTTTCCATTATTTTAATCAAAAAAGACCATCTGCACCCTCTAGTGGTGGAGCAGCTACACAAAGCTTAACAAAACAACTAAGAAACCTCAAATGGTATAAATTTAGCTGTCCTTCAAACACTAAAATTATATGAAATATAATTTGTTAGTGAAAAACACAACTCACTGCACACCACTACGGTCTTCAACATTTTTTCAACCCCTATTTCAATTCCTACATGGGTTCAGTCAGGCTTGCAACAAGACCAGTGCCTTAAAATCTTTGTCTTAATTGGTACAATATTAAAAGCCAACAGTTTCATCCATAAAAAAAAAAAAACACTTGTTAATGCCTGATGAAATACAGTATTTACATTTCAACAATGAAAATATTACTAATGTACAATTTAGTGTTTGCTACATTTACATAATCTCTCACAAACTCAGACCGATGTGAAATATGTACACATCAGAGTACAATTACATCACGGATCTGTTTAAGCTATTAAAATAATTTGCGAATAATAAAAATCTGCTATTTACAAATTCAACAAACCTTTGGCTGACACATGCCATTTTAAATATTTTCTTAAAACGTTTTAACTTCTGGACTGCTGTGGTCTTCCGTTCTCATGCACAGGAGCGACTGGCTTTTGTGTCGAGCAGGCTTTATTTTCCTCTGTTAACCGGGTCTCCGATAAGCTCCGGACACTTCTCCTCCCCTCTTGCGATTCTGTCGCACTTGTGCAGCAGGTCGTAGTTTATTTTGTCCGTAATGACGCTGTCCTGCTTGTACTGAGGATGTTTGGAGACAAACTCCCTCATCCACTTAGCCATCGTCATCAGCTCACCTGAGAACAACACAGTAGTGAAAACAAACATTACAAGAAATATCAATAACACAATCCAAATGAGTGAACCAGTTTGCCTGCAGTGTGTCATTTTAAGATGCCAATAGAGGGGAAAAATACACATTTAGAGAACTGCATTTCATGACAAAATAGATTTGCATGTGCATATATTTAAATTAAACGAAACGAAAACGGTGGTTTAAAAACTGAAATAAAATTATCAGCAAAAAAATAAACCACAAAAAATTTAATAAGTTAATAAATTGTATTGATTGCAGACACTAAAAAATAGAATGTTTTAAAGAATATAAACACAGCACTGCCACTGTAAACAACCTAAACCTCTCACCAGGGTTGGGGAGTAATGGAACACATGTAACTGCGTTACGTAATCAGGATACAAAAATCTAGTAACTGTGATCCGTTACAGTTACATCAAAAAACGAATTATTCAAATTACAGTTAAATTTTGTAAAAAGTGGGAATACTATCAGGCTTACATTTGTTTCATTTAAAATTAAATAAATTCGTTTTTTTTTTTTGACATAATGGTATATATTTAGCGCTGCATAGTTCCAGGTTCTGTTGACACCTTAATTATGCAGAACTTTAAGGCTTAATATAATTTAAACGGATGAGTTTTGACACATGTTGACTCAAGTGAGCCGCCTGCTGGTGTGTGCGCAAATAACACCGGTCTACAATTATTCTCCTCAAATGCGGGATGACTGAGACGCTGCTACAGTAAATTAATTACGATGCTTCCTGCTGTGAAAAACGTTTTCATGTCTGGAAACGTCACACTTATTTTGTTTTCAACGAGGATAAAGGAAATAACATAGTTGTACAGTGTAAGCTATGCATTAAGACTCTTGCTTAAACAAAGGCTACTCAACCAACTTGAACATTTGCAGGTACGACTAGCATGGAAACCATCATGTTAGCTAACATGTAGTGTTTGTTAGTGATTTAAAATTCCAAGGTGTGCATGACTGCAGTTGTGTGTAAGTGTTCTAGCGGAAAATGAGCTGGAAAATGTAGAAATTAACATGAGAGTCCCCACACCACGGATCAGTCAATGAAATACAGAAAGATCATAGCATTTCACACGCATTTAGACATGTAGGCTTATTTTAAAATAGACTAATATGTATATGGTGTACATTTTTTAATGTTGTGTATAAACTATATTTTTACTTGTACATGTTAAAGAAATAAAAAAATACTAATAAAAATAAAACTGTAATACTAAACTGTATAGCCACTAGATGTCTGCATAGCCTTTTATATAAATATACGGGCTGTAATATCTAGATGGTGAAACAAGACGATTTCTAAGTTTCAAATAGTTTTTATTAGTTTTAATTTTAAAGTCATAGTTAAATAAAAGTACTTAGATACTGTTTTTTGACTTGTTCACATGTAACGTTAAGTAATCCAAAAGTAATCAGATTACTTTTATATTGTGGTACTTGGATTACGTTACTGAATACTTTTTTAATGAAGTAATTTGTAACTGTAACGGAATATATTTTAAAAGTAACCCTCCCAACCCTGCCTCTCACATACCAGAAGCACGCTTCTTAATGAGTTTAAGGTAGTTGAGAATAGTGCAACGCGTGTCCACATCCACTTCCATGTTCTCAAGGTAGCTGTTCAACATGGGTATCAAGCCGTGAAACACCCCTTCCTAAAAAAACAAACAAACAAACACACTCACAACAAGTATCGTTCAACTCGCAATAGCTTATTGTTGAAGCTATACGGAATGTACAGCTAAAGAGCAGAGAAACACACACCTTCCCATTGACGATGGTGTCAATACTCATTAGTGTGAACTCTTCACCGTCATTAGCTTCACTCTCCACTCCATTCCGAGCTGTGGAGGGCGCATCTAACACTGGGTTGCAGCCTTAAAATAATAATAAAAAAATATTTTAATAACAAATTTAAAATAAGTTTGGAACCAGCATGCAGTGTTAAAAATATCTACAATATTTTAGTTGTGCCTTAATACAAATGTGTCACAGCTCATTGTTGATATGAATGATAATTTATTAATCTATTTAACTTTAAAGGGGTCATATGATGGGATTTAAATTTTTCCTTTCTCTTTGGAGTGTTACAAGCTCTTGGCGCATAAAGAAGATCTGTAAAGTTGCAAAGACTAAAGTCTCAAATCCAAAGAGATATTCTTTATCAAAGTTAAGAGTCAACCACGCCTACCTAAAATGGCTCGTTCTAACACGCCCCCACATACCTACGTCACTATGTGGGAAGATTTGCATAACACCGCCCAAATGTTCACGCAAAACTTGCTTTTCAGACCGATGAGCTTTGTAAAAATCGAAAGGCGTTTCAGAAAGGCGGGGCATAGAGGAGAAACAATAATGTACAGTATGTAGAAAATAATGTGTTTTTTTAACCTTAAATCGCATGAACACATTTCATTACACCAAATACACAAAATAATGTTCTTTTTAGCAACGTCATATGACCCCTTTAATGTCAACTAACCTTTAAAGACGTCCTTCCGGAAATAAAACATGCCTTCCTGCACCGCATTTCGCTTCTGGGCTACTTTCATATTTTCATCAACCTAAAACACAGGGGTTAAAGCAAAAAAAAATCCTGAGCCTGAACTTAAACAAATTTTTTTTCATGAATATATGGTTGACCTGAAGAATGAAAGCGTACAATCATACACTTGGAAAATTATGAGCTATATCACCGCTTATCGACACTAGGGGTGTGACAATACACTTAGCTCACGAGATGAGACAAAATACAGATACTTGGTTCACTAGAACAAGACAATATTTTAATACTATTTTTAAGAAATCTTCAATGACAAAATATGTCTTTTTATTACAAAAAGTAAAACAATGCAGTTGGATTTTGAAATATTTTAACTAATCTAGGGCTGTAACTAATGATTATTTCCTGGTGATGTTACACTTTACAGCGTGATTAAACGATGTTTAAATCCATTCAATTTTAATATCTGGGCACATGGAAACTCAGAAACGTTTATTTTGAAATCGCGATGTACAATAAATTGCATATTTAGAAATAGGTTGATGTATTCTCCTGTGTTGGCAAAGGTTTATAAATGATTTATGTTACAAATCTAGTGAGATAATGCACACTGTTTTCCCAGATGAACATTAAGCAATTCAAATTCACAGCATATAGAGGAAGAGTTTAGCCCCTTTCACACATACAGTCTTTGCCGGTAAATTACCAGTAAATTACCGGTAAGTTACCATTAAGAGATCA